GATACTTAGAAGTGGTTTACCATTCTCTTCTTCTGGGGGTGCCCTGGGACTGCGCAGCTTGCCTAAGGCTACACAGGCTGGCTCTACTGGCAGGAGACACAGTAGGGAATCAAACTCCCAACTTCTGGCTCCTAAACCATTGAGCTATCCAGACAGCTTTATAAACACTGCTACATAATCCGGGGCAAACTTTCAGTTGCAAGGCACATGAAGTACAGTAAAGGTGAGAGTCCTGCATCTCAGTTTGCAGAGTGCTAGAAAAGCAATTGTTTTGCTTTGCTACAATAGTAGAGTTGCTGTAAGTAAAGGTACGAGGGATTTAAGAGGGATTACTTGCTCTGACAGTTAATTCAGAAATTAATTGTTTTGGCAAATGAGTAAGTGAAGGCTCTTCGAAAAACACAGCTGTCCTGTTAAGTGATTTCATATAGAAGATATTTTTCCAACATCATTGTAGCTTTGAATTTTCTTTTCTTCTGCCCTTGGTAATGGATTGCCTGTACTTCTTGACAGGAATTTGACCAGATTCCAATGTTCATGAAGAAAGCTCCCTCTGAAATAGACCCTAAGCAGAATCCTGACTTGGCATGCATTCAGTCTATTATTTTTGATGAAGAAAAAACTCTTGAAGGTAGTGTTTGTACTATTTCCTTCACTTTTACAGCTCATAGAAAACGTTGCTTTCATCAGCACTTTCTCTAGAACTCTTAAGACTATAATTGTGCAGCTTTTATGGTAACTTGACATCTTTAGGTAGTCACTGGGTTTAAAAGGAGTGCCGAAATAGATGCCCAAATAAGTTACTTAAAGATTGTCTTTCTAAGTGTGATGTGTAATTTTATGGCGTTTTTCACTAGAGCAAGCCAAGACCTACAAGAATGAAGGCAATGATTATTTTAAGGAGAAAGATTATAAGAAGGCTGTGATATCTTATACAGAAGGTCTGAAAAAGAAATGTGGTGATCTGGAGTTGAATGCTATGCTTTATACGAACAGAGCTGCAGCCCAGTTTTACTTGGGTAATGTATAATATTCAAAGCACCCTGATAATTAAATCATAATCACTTGTCAGGAAGGATAAATTATTTTAAATATAGTTTGTTGGTGAAGTAGATAGCTGTGTTTCAGCAACCTGAAAAGAATGTCAGAACATCACAAACTGTACTGAATTTTTGCACTAAGAAATACTTTTTAAAAAACCTGACCCATCTTTCCTAAAATATTAACTCAAATAGTTTTGGCATTTCCATATTACAGCTAAAATCCTGTTGTGTAAGTTATATCCGCAGATGGCCAATGACATCACTGGCAGAGAGATTTTCAGCTATTAAAGACTTCCTCTTTCTGTTCTGCAGCTTGTCCAACTCACTGCATGGAAGGAGAAAGCCTTTTCTTATAAACATCACCACCACCGGATGACATTACTCACAGAGAGATATTTTTGGTAGACTTGCTCCTTCCTTCTTACAGGTACCACTGCTTCCATGCAATGAAATGGATTACTTGCAAATCAGACAAGCTGCAAGACTGAAGAAGGAAAACTCTTAATTACTGAAAGTCTGTTCATGTCATTAGGTTTACAAATGTATTACTTAACACAACAGGATTTTGGCCTATGGCTGTAATAGTATTTTCTCTTTTAATTGCCCTTTGTTTAATTAATATTGTTAATTTTGAGTAGAACACTTCTTGCAGTAACTAGATTCAGTTTTTCTTGGGGAGGTAACCTCTCTATATAGACAAAAGCTTTTAAACTCAGTATAGTTATCCAAGTTTTACACAGTATGTTTTGTTTAGGCAACTATCGTTCTGCTCTCAATGATGCTGTTGCAGCAAGAAAATTAAAACCCAGCCACCTCAAAGCAATAATAAGAGGTAAGACCATTTCTGTTTGTTCTTTTCCAACAGCAGCATTATCAGAGTAGCTTCCAAGTAATTAAGGAAACGGTTGTCATACTATTTTGCAACACCAACAGTAGTAAATATTTTATACCTGTTTAACTGTATAAAACACGGTGTTGCAAGACAGTATTTCCAACGTGACATGAAAAAGTAACTTAATGTACACTTGCATTAAAAGGAAGGAAGATGACATAGGAGGAGCAAGCCATCATGAAGTGAAGTTATTTGCAATAAATTATATGCAAGAATGAGATTGTAATGCAGGCCTCTGTAACTTTCAGATCAGTTTTTTAATGACTGTATGGAAGTGTTTGACCCATAATTTCATTCCTTGCAATTGCACTTAAGTTCTAGAAATCTTAGCCATCAGTAAATGTGAAAGTTTGTTTCTTCTTCTTCTTGATATTATTAAACTAATAACCATGTGCCATCAAGTCAATTCTGACTTATAGTGACTCTTTTCAGGGTTAGAGAATACTCAGGTAGAGAATACTCAGAAGTGGTTTATCATTCACTTCTTCTGGGCACACCCTGGGATTGTGCAGCTTGCCCAAGGCTACATAGGCTGGCTTTTCTTACAGGAGGCTCAGTGGGGAGTTTAACTCCCAACTTCTGCCTCCACAGCCAGAAACCTAAGCCTCTGAGCTGTCCAGCCAGCTTTGATGTTCTTAAAGACTATTGTTAAATGTTACATCGTTTACTGCAGGTATGTGTATAAAATACTTTTCCAGGAGCACTTTGCCATTTGGAACTCAGACATTTCTCTGAAACCATGACATGGTGTGACGAGGGACTCAGAGTCAATCCAAAGGAAAAGAAGCTTCTGGAAATAAGAACAAAAGCCGACAGACTAAAGGTCAGAATGAGTGAGAAACACTGGAAACCAAATCATGAGATGGTAAACTAAGGTTGACCTAAAATAAGCCTTCTTGTCATGGTTACAAGGTAGATTTATCTGTCTTTCAGCGTACTGAAGAGCGGGATTTAAGAAAAGCAAAATTGCAGGAGAAAAGGGAACAATCTCGGAAGGATGCTTTGCTCGAAGCTATCAAGGTAGCTTTCTCTTCTGAAACAAATTTTTGTGTGTGAAACTTTATATATGCGAAGTTATATTTTACACCCTTGCTTCAAGCTGGTCTTTTATCTGTCTAATGTAGGATCGGAATATCAAATTATCTCTGGCAGCCGCAGAAGATGACACTGGGATAGAAGCAGGCCTTGCAGAAATGTCTTTAGATGCGCTTAACCCAGATGGTGCTGTTGGTGCCAAAGTCTGTCTAGACGAGAATGGCAGTCTTACGTGGCCAGTGTTGTTCCTGTACCCTGAACATGGGCAAAGTGACTTCATCTCTGCTTTTCATGAAGACTCCAGGTTAATTTTTAAAACATAATGCAAATCTTAAGCGACATCATAGTTCATCTGTCATGTTTTCCAGTACTTCAGCCTTTACTCTGCCCGTAGTGGAAAAAAGGGTCCATGTCTACCAACTTAATCTTCTGAACACATCCTAGAGTAGCACTGCATGGAGACTTTAGGAAGAATACTAGGAAAGTAGTGCTTAGAAGAGCAGAGCTGTCCTACTGTTTCTGGACTGCATGAAGCCTCTTCCAAACCCTACGTTCTGCTGGATGTGGGGAAAAGAGCATTTTCCATTTGGGGGAGCTTTTCCAGTGTAGGTTTTTTCTTTTCTTTCCAAAATGTGTTTTTTCCACTCCATTGAAAAGAATAGAAGGAATAAAAGGCTGCCAGCTCTCTTCTGAAGCCATCCGTAAAGCGAGGACTCTAGATCCAGATCCACCTTTTTTGCCTCTGGAAGAACAGCATAGACATTCCTCCTAACTAAAGGCCTTCCGTGAGGCATAGGGGGCATTCCTCTTAGTTCCTGTAGTCTCTGGGACCAATTTCTAGGGATGCCAAGACTATGGTATTGATCTCAAATAGAAACTAGTAGGTACATGAGCTTTCACTGAGTGTGTCATCGAAGACACTGACTGCCAGCCTGTTACAGAGTTACATTGCTCTGAGTTACAAAGATGTCAGCCCATCATCAGTTCAGCTCTAGTAGTAGTAGAAGTGGAACTGTTGTGCACTGCTCGGGATTAGGTGAATAACAGTAAATGAATCTTCTGTTTCAGATTTGTTGACCATTTAACATGTATGTTTGAAGAGCTGCCACCCTGGGATGTAGAAAAAAAATATATTCCCACTGCACTAGAGGTAGGAAAGTGCCTCCTATTTGTTAAAAATGTGTATGTTAAGAAATGGCTTTACTAATTTATAAAATGGGTAGGACACTTTTCAGAGTAATATAGTATGGAAATTAGAGTTCGTTTATATGCATTTGCATTTATAACGTTTATAGTTTTCTGTGTTGTCTGGCGACCTTCTCTTGTTTAGCCTAGACAAAGACCCAGAATAGGCATATGTCAAATCTCATGGCTAGAATCATATTAAGAAAAACTGCGTAAGTGCAGTCATATAGAGTTGTTTCCCTTCCAGCAGGCCCGCATTCCACAGAGTTTCACAGCCATGGCCAAAGCTAGACACACCAATACGATCTCACTGAAGCCGGCTCAAATCCAACCCAGCTAAATAGCAAGGACCAACCAAGGCAGATGAAAGGCTTTGTATGTCTCCTCACTAAATGAATGCTTGCTGATACTTCAGTTGCTTGATATATATCTTGCCAGTATTTAAAGGTAGTGTTGCTTCTGTGTTAAGGTTGTTTATTTCTTTCATGAAATTGCACAGCTTTATTTTGAAGATGAAGAAAGAGGAGAGATACAGCAGATAAGAAGAGAGGCCACATTGTTACAAGCAATGCAGCACCAAAGGTGAGAAGCTAAACCACAGCTTGCACAGTGTTTATTCTGAATATGCTATTCATCTAAAAATTACAAGTATGCAATATTCACTGAACTGGATTCACTCTTCCAAAAAATTAGTGATGTATATAAAAGCCACCAAGTGTTTGCCATTCACGAGGTCCTGCTATTAACAAACAGTATCATTCCTCCAATGTGTTTATTATCTTACATATGCAGTTACTCAAAAGTAAAGAAAGTAAAGCCTATATGTTGTCTACCTAGGCTAGAAGCTGCATCACAACCTACCCATTTCACTACAGGTGTTATCATTGCGGGAGGGGGGGTGCTAGCTCACATTTCCTTAAAATATGGCAAAGCAGACTCAGGCACTGTGCAAAATACCACACCACCCTAGTATGTTGAGCTTTAGTTGTAGATAAGAAGCCCAGTGTTGCTGTAGTTTGAACCCACCTGAGACATCTCTTCGTACTGAGCTGAATGATTAGCTTACAGTAACAGTTGGTACATCTTATTTATCTGTTGTACCTTTCTCTTATGTTGCTGAGCAGGCTGAGAATATAACCTATAAAATTAAAATTGTGTTTTCTGGTTGTGACATGAACAGAGTAGAAGTTAGGATGAATATTACACATCCAGATAAACAAACAAGTAATTTCTCTTGAACATTGGATATGTCGGGACAGCGTAAAGTACAGCTCAATTTTTATGTCTTTATTTTTTGCAGGTACTTTGTAAAATGTGGGACTCCTACTTTTTTAGTTTTAGTAAAGGACTCTCCTTTCTTGAAAAACTATTTTCTTGGGAAAAAGGTTCATCGGCTGAAGGGAACAAACATGAATTCTTAACTGCAAGAAATGACAAACACAGTAGGGATAGCATTTAAAAGACAGCCTTCTTCAGATTTGCGAAGTGGAAAAGACTGGAAAACTTCCGACGTATATAGTTTTTCCCACCATAATCAAGCTGACAGCTTACTTGAACTCAGTTCTACGAGTTCTGGCATATATGAAATTCTGCAAACAAAGGAAAGACTTGATGTATCTGTAGAAACAGCAGGCATGTTTTTATTCAAATTTTATCTTGTGTTACAGAATCACTTGGGTGGGTATTCTTTCTTAAATACACTCTTTTTATGAGTAAAAGAATAGAACATAAATGGCCATACGTTATTCACCTTATTCTTTACAACATGAAACAGAGGTTGCGGAACAGAAGCAAATTTTTGAAAATCAAGTTTATTCTGAAATTACCCAAATTGCTATTAAAAACCATTTCTTCAGGGTTCCTGTGTGTGTTATGTGCCACCAACTTATAGCAACCCTGATACCACCTTCAAGGTAAGCATTACAGTGGTATCCTGCTTGACGACAAAATCGCTTGATGACAAGTTTTTTTGCGATCGCTATAGCGATTGCAAAACGATGGTTCCTATGGGTTTTTTTCACTTTACGTCAATTAGGTGCCTGCTTTGTGAACCGTTTGTTCGCAAAACAATGTTTTTTCCGGCTCCGCAAAATGGCTTCCCTCCCTTCGCAAAATGGCTGTTTTCCGGACAGAAGCTTCGGAAGACAGCGATTTTAAACAGCTGATCGATGGTCCGCTATGGGCAATCTTTGCTGGACGATGAGGTATTTCCCCACTGGAACGCATTAACCGGTTTTCAATGCATTCCAAAGGGTGTTTTTTTTTTCACTTGATGATTTCGCTTAACAGCGATTTTCCTGGAACGGATTATCATTGTCAAGCGGGGCACCACTGTATATTTAAGGAATCATTTTACAAGTTCCACACCCTCATAAGTCTCCATGACCAAGAAAGGATTTGAAACTAGGTCTCCTGAGTTCTAGTTCATCATTCCTATCCACTAAACACCACCAGGTATCCTTTAGGGCAGAGGTCGTCAACGACCAGTCCGCGGCCCATTGCCGGTCCCTTGCTTGAGCCCGACCGGGCCGCCAAGACAGACCTCCCCCCTCCCTGCCTCCTCACAGCTGCTTTGCGCGTGTGCGTTCTAGCGCGAGTCCTCCCTTTAGGGGAGCACTGAGTGTGGATCAGGTGGAAGGAAAGGGTCTCTTGGGTCCTCATCCTCGCCCTGTGAAGAACTGCCTCGCACCCAGGTGGGGAGGGAGACAAGGTAGGTAGGTAAGATATCATCACCTCAGGGAGGGGGGCAATGATAACTTCCTCAATGGCTCAAGAGGGCGTTTCTTTCAAAAAGGTTAAGAACCACTGCACTAAACAACACCAGGTATCCTTTAGAGTCTTACTCTTTAGGACATCAAATTGAATTTTGCTCAAGAGAAACAGATTCTTGGTCTGAAAATTGAATTTATTCTGAAATTACCTTAGTTGCTATACAAAATTTCTGTCTTCAGGGCTTCTACTTGCAGACACCCAAGGAGAAATGAGCTTTTATTTACTCTCTTTAGGACATCAAATTGAATTTTGCTCAAGAGAAACAGATTCTTGGTCTGAAAATTGAATTTATTCTGAAATTACCTTAGTTGCTATACAAAATTACTGTCTTCAGGGCTTCTACTTGCAGACATCCTAGGAGAAATGAGCTTTTATTTACTCTAATATGTGAATTGTAGGGAACACCTCATATTTGCATCCTGAGCAGTAGTTCTGCTTAATGAAGGTTTCTCATTTGTGGGGTCGTTTAGTTGCCTGCTCTCCTGCTATTAGCATCCAACAGATTTATATAGATCAATAGACTGCCTGCCTGCTCACAGTACCAGAGATTAAAGCAGTTAGCTATAGTTTATTTGCCATCTTGTGTTTTTGAACAAAGGAATGTCGAGTTCATTGTTGAGAGCTTTACATTTTCACTGGCTTGTTGCTGTGTGAAGATCAAATGAATGTATTGAGGGACTACTCCCATTGCTTTTCAAACCCATATAGACGTATGTTGAATTTTTATTTCTGGAAAGGGCACATTGTTCACATCTGCCCAACTGCTTAACTTAGCAACCGTAGCACATTCTTCTTAGCTTCTCCTAACTTACTACTACTAACCTAACAAAGTATTTTGCAAAGTAGTTGTTTTGGGTGTAACAGAATGCCACTGTATATATGATGGTGTTCAACCTGATTTCATTTTAGAGTAAAGTCAAAATATCAAATGTTCATCTTCCTTGCATATGCAAATGCCATCAGTCCATAAGTGTTATAAGCTTGTTTTTTAAAATGTTCTACATGATGAGAGTATTTTAGACTCTTATCACTTTTCTAGCATTTATTTTCCTAATACATTTTTTAATGATGATCCTTAGCCTATCCTGCCTGAGCTCCACCAGAAATGTCTACACTACATTCGCAGGAGCCAGAAATTTTGCAAAGCATAAATAGTGAAATACCCTTAATAAAATGAGCGCCAGCAGCCAGGCCAGGGCTGTTGTGAAGCCCCAAGATGTTACATTGAGTGAAGTCTTTATTTCCTCTTTCCTCTGAATACGTCACATTGAACTTTCTGAGTAAAATAGGTGCAGGTTTACAGTGAAAAAGCATAAAAAATATTTGCTATAGCTTGATGCCGCACTCTTCCTCACAAGTCATAGTGGGGCAATCTAATCATACATTTATTTAAAATTTGCTAAGACCACCAGCAATAATCAGAAAATTCTTATTACTTATCCCTGGATCGCATACAATTGGCTAGATATAGGGGTGGGAGGTGACTTAAACCAGAGCTTGATAGCTGAGATCCTCCTGGTGCCTTTAGGTTGCAACTGGGTGGTAACTTTCAACCAAAAATACTCTGGAGGGCCAGTTACTCATCCTTATTTTTTAAAAATATCTGCCACTAACTGGACTGCTGCCATCTTAAAATCTTAATATTCAGTCCCTTGGAAGCCCAAAGAGGACAGATAAATGAAGTGATAAAACATTTGGCATGACAAATATCAAAACTTATTTCATTCTTAGAAAAGATATGCATTGAGATTTTTTTTAAAAAAAAAACCTGATTCTTAATCAAGTATTTCAGTTTACCTCAGCCTTTTACAATTGTCTGACCAAGTCGTCTGTTCAGTATAAGAAACAAAAGTCTTACTAGTCAACTGGAACCTTAAAGGTCTGTGGGAAGCAAAGGAGTTTGTCACTTGTCAGCACCACGATGTTTTAGAGGTTCTGTACTATATCACTGGAACTGTGGTGACTCAAGAGCTTCTGTACAGGAGTGCCCTCTTGCAGCCTAGTTCTCTTCAGGAACTCATGCCCCCAGACCAACTAGGGCCTTTGCTTGGGTTCAGAGTGTGGAAAGGTGAGCAGCCATATAGTAGAGGCTCAAGCCGTTGCATGCGATGCAGCACAGGTTACAAAGGGAAGAGAAGCCATGGTATATGCTCAGTCTACTTGTTAGTGCCTTATAACTAGCATCCAGGTGGCCCAGCCGTATAAGGGACCTGTTTGAGAACACCCTAACATCCCCTCCTAAGCCATAGCTTTGCTCAATCAGGTGCATTTCAGCCATAATGTCCGACGTCACTTGCCCAAACCAATGAGCATTTAAAGCAGCAATTGTGACACAAATGAAGAAGACCGTAATCTGGAAAAGACAAGAGGGTTATCCTGGGCACTTCTATTGTTAGCCAGTATAAAGTTGTGATTCACATACCACAACTTGTCAAAAATTTCTTCACTCTTAATCCTATTCAGATTGCTGACTGGCACAAGCACCAGATCCAACTAGGAAAGGGCTGAAGAGTCCAGCAGTGCAGGCAAGCTGTAATGCTAGAGCAATGGTGGGCCTCTTCAGTGGATTTGGGAACAAATTCCAGTCCTTCCAGACCTTGCCATGGGCCACATAAGGTCCCAAAATGGCTAGTACAAGCCATTTTTCAAAGAAAACGTCTGGATGGTCACTTCTGGTTTTGATGGGGGAGGGTCTTTGGGTACCACCACAAGATCCTTTATCCTAAAATATGCAACTGGAGGTTTCTGGAAGCAGAATAGGTGCTGCCCCCATTTTCTTCTTCTCCATTTTTCATGGGGGCTCTGCCTAACTTTGGGGCTTATGCAAATGCCCATGGAAGGGTGCAAATTGCATGCAGACCACTTTTTGCCCACTTCTGGCTTAGCAGCTGGATTCTGCTGCTCTCCTTTCAAATCAGGATTCACACTGGGTATACAGTATTTCAATGAGGAATAGCCCATCTGAGAAGAAAACTTACTAAAGCTCAATCCCTTTATTGCCCTGACACCTCAGCAGATGTATGGATCAGAAATGGGACATGTTACAATAGCAAGGTCAGGAGAAACACTGGCTGGAGTACTGTGAACAAATATAGTTTCTGACAGTACCATTTCCCATCCTTGGAAGCCCCTGAATGTTCTTTGACTAGGACCCAGACATCGATGGTTCCTCATATAATCAGTTCTTTAGAACAGTGGCCCCCAACCTTTTCTGAATCGCGAACTGTTTGGGGTGGCAGGGGTCCATGCGTGGGTGGGCAGGGCACCTGTGCGGGGGGTGGGGTGAGGTGGGCACACACAGGGTTGTGTATGTGCATGTGTGCATGTGGGATGTGTGTGTAAGTGCAGGGCGTTGAGAAGAAAACTTACTAAAGCTCAATCCCTTTATTGCCCTGACACCTCAGCAGATGTATGGATCAGAAATGGGACATGTTACAATAGCAAGGTCAGGAGAAACACTGGCTGGAGTACTGTGAACATATATAGTTTCTGACAGTACCATTTCCCATCCTTGGAAGCCCCTGAATGTTCTTTGACTAAGACCCAGACATCGATGGTTCCTCATCTAATCAGTTCTTTAGAACAGTGGCCCCCAACCTTTTCTGAATCGCGAACCGTTTGGGGTGGCAGGGGTCCGTGTGTGGGTGGGCAGGGCACCTGTGTGCGGGGTGGGGTGAGGTGGGCACATACAGGGGTGTGTAGGTGGGCACATACAGGGGTGTGTATGTGCATGTGTGCATGCGGGATGTGTGTGTAAGTGCAGGGCAGGGGAAGAGATCTGTCTCCGCAGCCCGGTCCTGCCAAGGCCATGGCCTGGTACTGGGCCACATAACCAGGGTTGGAGGCCTCAGCTTTAGAAACTTTAGAATGGCAGATTAACAACTTGATTTATAAATGTCTTAATACATAGTTGTTGCTGTTACTATTATAATACATATTTTTAAAAGAACTTGCTTACCTGTGTGGTTTCTTCCTCATTGAGAAGCTCACTGGGGTGGCACGTAGCAAAGATAGTCAGGTTAACAAAAGCACACACAGACCCAATATGAAAGTAATAGGGGAAGAGGAAACTCTGAATGAATCCAAACATATGTTGTGAGAGGTGGCTGCTCATCACAAAACCTGCAAAGGAAAAGGGCCAGTTAAATATATCCCCATCCAATATACATGCTTAAAATCTTTAAATAGACAAATTGTGAAATGTTTTATTCTGGATGCAAAAATAAACAAAATATATGTAGGTTTAGCTTAGAGGTCTGCAGATTTGTGTTTTTGAACCAAAAACAAAATCTTCACACCTCCAGCTTCGGCTCTTTTCTTTTTATTTTTTTTAATTGTTTATTAAGAGAAACTTTCCACACTTCTGTGTCCTTCCCTTTAACACGAATAAATCTCCCTTGCCCTCTCCCTGGTAGCCCAAAACAGTTTCACAAAACCAAACTTTTCAGCTGCAGTGGACCCTTGACTTAGAGACAGCTTGACTTACAGACTTTTTGACTTGAGAACCGCCTTCCAATACGGATTAAGTTCTCAAGTCAAGACCCCACTGTATCTGTGATCCACAGTGTTATCCCTATTTGCTAAAGCCAAGTGACTTTTTCTTCTCTGGCGCCCCAATTGTAGCACGCTCTCCCTGTGGAGACCCAACTGGCAACAAGATTAACTGCACTTTGCCACCAAATTTGTTCACCCAAGCTTTGGGGGCTTAGCAGCCATGTTATGGTTCTAGGCTTTAGGAGTGTGTGTTCGGTTTTATTCTGTCTAAATTAAACTGGATTAATTTAAATTATTTTAAAGTGGCTAATACTGCCTGTATCCTAGCCCAGGATTGCTGGATACAGAGTTGCATAGAACTGTTTTAACAAACAGGTTAACAAATGCCCACGCTTACAGCCAACCCATTGGTCTTCCCCTCTGCAGACATGGAAATGCTTGTGGTTTCAGTATGCCATAAGCAGTTTCATTTCTGCCACATCCCATTTCTTCAAGTATGTTCAATGTCTCCCCAAACACCCTAATTAAATAAAAGTACTATAATTCATTTGGTTTTTGAGCCTCAGTATAAGACAGATCGAACCTACTGGAAATGAAAGTAACCCAGATCTGCATTCCCCAAAAAGTGGAAAGAAAAACTAGGTGGAGCACTTTCACAAAGGTTGAGGGATCGGCATTGGCAGGCATGATACTTCACATGGACAGTCACTTGTGGTGCCCTCAGCTTGGAAGCCTCTCTTATTTCACCTGTCCAGAGACACCAAGATGCAACATAAAATCATTTCAATCAATTATAGTTCTCAGTGCACTGAAGAACAGTTACCCCCAAACTGATATTTGATTGCGATGATGAGGATGTCAACATCAACAGTCTCCTTTTCTTAAAGACATGCATTTAAAATCTTCTGAGTAGATTGATAAGATAGTTTTGTCAATTTACCACATGCATCATAAAGCTGGGTGCAACATTTGGAACCATTAAGTTCAATGATACTTCGGCCACTGATGGCCATGGGATGCATTCTTAGGACTTGGATAACTTTGCAGCATTTCCCTCATAGTCATCACGTTAAAATGGAGAGCAGCTTTTCTATTGCTTCAAGCGGACATTCAGCCCTAGTCAACGCCTACCAAAGGAAGCAAGGTTATCACTATCCCACTGTACAGGAATCAAGGACAGCTTTACATGCCACGCATGGTGGATAAAAATCAATGAATTAAAAACAAAACCCAAATAGATTTAAATCACAATTTAAATCAAGAAAATCATTTTTAAAATTTAAATCAAATCCACCATTTACACGCCATAAAATTCATCAAATGCAGGGAACTCAACCTTCCCCATAACAGATTGTCCAGTCCCTTGAAAAATGCTAAGAAAATACTAGAGTGAAGGGGGATGAGATTTAGTGGCACTGGAAGATCCTTAAACAACAGGTAGATGCCTTGGGAGAGGGATGACTTTCCAGTACTGGAAGGCAGATCCAGCTACATATAATGTTAATTTAAAAGGACTGCTGTTCCTATGTACCAGTAATGTAGTAACATTTTTGTCCTATATGACATGTGCAAGGATTACCTTACCACTGCCAGTGAGTCGCCATGGCCAAACAGATACAGTATTTGAACCCAGGTCTCTGAAGTCAGTCCCACATTCTATCACACCACATTGGATCTCAATCAATTAATGTATGTAATTAAACACATCACAATCTTTCCTCCATTTATAAACATGGATTCAAAAACAAGAAGAAACAGTGCTACACCCCTTAGGGGTGCAGCCCTTCATGCACTTACCTGAGAAGGTGCTTCGCTGAGTTTAAGAGATTTTTCTGCCGAGGCCTGCCTAGACCCCTTAATCTCTTTAGGGCAGGTGTGCTCTGTCTAAGAGTTATCCATGCGCAAAGGGGTGTGTCAAAAAAAACAACTTTCAAAAGGGCTCGCTGACGAGCACTTAAGAAATTCGAATCATGAGCTCCCCTGCCTGCAGAAGGGAGCACGTTTCCCATTTCCGCATTTTTCCCCCCGCACATCAACCCAGAGCGACGCCCCCGCCCACCCACCAACTCCAAGCATAGGACGGAATGGCACGAGAATTCACCATCCCTCAGCAAAGCAGTCCAGATGCCAACGAGGGAAAACCAGATTCGAACGACAGGCTAAAAAGTAAAATGAAATAAATATACAGAAAGCAACACCCACCATGTACTGCCTTAATCCAGGCTATGAGCCATAAACCCTAAACGGAGTGCACGCAAAGACCGCGTTTTCTTGCTGCCCCACAGACTCTTTAATTAATACTTTCTGGGGCGGGCAGCAGAGGCAGGAAGGCGGAATCAAAGAGGAAGAAGGGCGGACGGGCGAGTGAGCGATCGAGCCGCCGGCCCTCGTGTCGGTTCCAAAAAGCCCAACAACCCCAAGCCGAGGAAGGTTGCGCGTCGCGAACTATCCGGCTCGGGTCGGAGAAGTTCCTCCAAGGGCTTTCTGCACACGTGCTTTCCTTGGGGGGGGAGGCTTTAGCGCCTACCCGCGTTACGCCGTCATGGGGAAGGGGGCAGAAGGCAGCGCGGGTGTGGGCGGCGGCGGCGGCGGCATGCAATCCAGGCGCTGCGCCCCGTCGCAGCCTCCCCTGTGGAAGCCCGGGAGCTCGTTACGC